CCAGACCAGCTAAAAAGGCATTTAGTAACATCAAACAGGACCACCAAGAAACAAACAAGCAAGAGGAACTGTGTGCATAGCAAACCACCCCCACCCCCACCCCCGGTGCTTCCAAGGCGCTGGCACAGTAAGACCAACTCCACTTACAGACGGAGCCCAGAGAGACCCGCTCGCCCAGGACACAAAGACCCACCCGAGAGACTCCCGGGCTCCTCGCAACACGGGAAGAGAGGAATAAGCAGGCACTCCGTCCAAACAGCCACTTCAAAAATACAAGCAAGGAAACAAACAGGTTTCTGAAAACACAAGAGCAAGCTGGTCAGGGCAGCAGATCCGAGCTTCCGGAAAAAGAGGCAGGGCCTCCACCTGGTTCCTGGACCCAAGGAGACATGAGGAAGAGCCCTCCCAGTGCTGTTCCAGTCCTTCAGGACTAAATGCACTTCACAGAGGTGGGCGGTGAGGGGCCAGCCCACCCGGGAAGACGGAAGCAGGTGCCCTGTCCACATTCAAGGGCAAGACTCTGCAGGGTCAGGTGCACAACCCTTCCCATCCAACATCCCTCCCGCACATTCCTCCAACCTTCCTCCTCCCACCTCAGGGTTTTTCTGTGGCTGCTCTAACGGTCCTCCACACACAGCCTGAAAGACACTTATTATCTTAAAGTCTGGAGGTCAGAGTCCAAGGCAGTTCTCACGGGACTAAAGTGTAGGTGTTGGCCACTGCACTCATTTCTGGACGCTCTGGGGAGAGTCCACGTCCTGCTCATGCAGGCTGTTGGCAGAATCCAGTTTCCTGCGGTTGTAGGACCGAGGTTCCCGCCGGCTGCAAGCAGAAGGCCACTCCAAATGCTGGAGGCCACCGCACCCCCCGGCTCATGGCCCCCGCCTCCACTTTCAGAGCCAGCGACAAGACAAGCGTCCATCTGCTGTTGATTCTGACCACTTTTAAGCGCTCACTCCATTCTACTGGACCCACCAGGCCACCCAGGAAAAGGTACCACCTCAGGGTCAGCAGATCTGCACCTTCCACTCTTTGGCCATGTGGTCTGGTTCCAGGTTCCAGGGATAAGGATGCAGACATCTTTGGGGTTCATCAGTCTGCAACCACGCCCCATCCCTCCGGCCAGAACCCTGGTGATCGCCACCCTTCAGTGCTTCATGGCGGCCCTTTTCTATGGCCTTCCGAGCCCTGCCCGCCTCCCACCCCTCTTCTCACAAGGCTCCCCTCCTGCCGTCCTCCTCCCCAGCCCCAGGGTCCCCACAGCACCCTTCCCCTGCCAGGAGTGCTCTGACGCCCACCCCGCATCTCCGCATCTGTGCATCTCTGTGGGCTGGCTCCCTCTCCACCTACAGGCCTCAGGTCAGGCATGACCTCTTCTGGAAGGGCGTGGCCTTCCATTGACGCAGGGTCCTGTGCTTCTGCCAACGCCCCCAGATGATGACCTTCGAAGAACATACCAATGTGCTTACCGTCTCCCTCACCCCAGCAGCCTCTGAGAGCCACATCTCTTGGCTCAGCATTCAGCACGGGACCTGGCACACAGAATGCGTTCTGAACGAATGAACTGTCCCCCCAACAAGTCCTCCCCTCAGCTGATGAGTGATGGCGGCCTGTTACAATGACGGTGGAGCTCATGTCTCACCGGCTCGGAGACTCCTCGGGCTGTGGCCGCTGGAAGCTGAAAGCTGTCGGAGCCACAACACCGTGAGCTGTCTTCTCCTCCAGCTCCACCCCAAGCACCCACAGCCTTGCCGATTCAATCTGGGCCCTTCCTGCCTCCATCCCGCTCACAAAGGTCGCCCTCCACAGGCCCCACCGCCCGCACGGCCTCCTGTGCGCAGCGCTCGCGGCCCCGGCGGACCCACGCCGGAGGGCCGCTTGCGCTCGCACCGCGGTGGGCGGTGACTTCGTCCTGCCACTGACAGCTAAGTGTGGCAAGAGTGCAACCCACAACTGCAGAGGGCAGCCGCCCCTCAGAGCCAAGTGGGTCACTGGCCCAAGAGAGAACCAGCCCCAGAGAGTCACAGACTGAACGCGTCCTGATCCCCACCACCCGCCCTCTGATTCTTGCAGCACCACCATCCTCTCTCACCCGGACGTTCACCACAGCCTCCGAACTGGTCTCCCTGCGTCCGTCCTTCCCTCCCAGCCCCTAACCTGCCATCCACCCAGAGGCCAAAGGGATCCTGCCACACCTCTGCCAAGACCCTCCAAAGCGCTCCCCCATCAGAATAAGAGACAGGAAGCCCACGTCTTTCCACTGTGACCACGAGGCCCGCCCCCACCAGCTTCCGGACCTCGTGCCCCAGGACTCTCTCCCTCCTCCCTTGGCTCCAGTCACCAGGCCCCCCGCTCTTCTCGAGCACACCGCTGTCGCTCCCAACCAGGGGCTTTCCACTGGCCCTCTGCCCAGACCACTGTCCTCCCAGCCACCCAGGGGGCCTGTTCGCTCACCTCCTGTGAGTCCTCAAATGTTACCTCCTCTGTGAGACCTTCTCTGGCCACCTTATCACCGGGAAACCCTCCCCACTCCACACGCCTCCCAATCCCAATTCTCTGCTTGAGGTTTCAATAACAGGACAACAGTTCCCACCTTCTCAGGGGTAGCTCTCTTCTTAACTTAGTCATGGTCTCTATTCTCTGCCCCTCCAGCTCTGCTGTAAGCTCTGAGACAGCACTGGTCCTGATCTGTTTTGTTCACTGGTGTATCTCTAGCCCCTGGAACTGTTATTGGCACCAAGAGTTGGTTAAACAAATATCTACTGAATGAATGAATTTTCAAACTCTCAAAGCTCCTCCAAGAGGCCATCTCTCGTGTTCATCAAAGAGAATCGGACCAGACCGAACAAATATGTGCCTGCAGATCTCAGCCACTTAGGTCTCATCCAGCTTCATCAGGTTACACTGGCAGAAACTGATGGCCCCAGGGGTGACATGACCTGGTGAAAGTCACACAGAGATTAATAGAAAAAAAAAGGCTGAAACCCAGACCACAGAACCAAGTCAGAGGTGCTTCCACCACATCACACATCCTGCTTCATCCAGACATTTCTAAGAAAGCCCCAGCCAAATAGACAACCTAAGGACCAGCATGAATAGAGGAGGGGGGGCTACTGGCAAGACCACCTCTCATGCAGTGTGAGACCCTGGCCAAATCACCTACTAGAGATACACCAGTGACACAGTTTTTCTGGTAAGACTCCATCATTTAAAAGATGATGGCAGGGCGCCTGGGTGGCTCAGTTGGTTAAGCGACTGCCTTCGGCTCAGGTCATGATCCTGGAGTCCTGGGATCGAGTCCCGCATCGGGCTCCCTGCTCGGCGGGGAGTCTGCTTCTCCCTCTGACCCTCCCCCTTCTCATGCTCTTTCTCTCTTAAATAAATAAAATCATGGGGCACCTGGGTGTCTCAGTTGGTTAAGCGACTGCCTTCTGCTCGGGTCATGATCCTGGAGTCCCGGGATCGAGTCCCGCATCGGGCTCCCTGCTCGGCAGGGAGTCTGCTTCTCCCTCCGACCCTCCTCCCTCTCATGCTCTCTGTCTCTCATTCTCTCTGTCTCAAATAAATAAATAAAATCTTTAAAAAAAAGAAAAAGAAATCTTGACATCTGGGGCGCCTGGGTGGCTCAGTCGGTTGGGCGACTGCCTTCGGCTCGGGTCACGATCCTGGAGTCCCGGGATCGGGTCCCGCATCGGGCTCCCTGCTCGGCGGGGAGTCTGCTTCTTCCTCTGACCCTCTCCGCTCTCATGTGCTCTCTCTCATTCTCTCTCTCAAATAAATAAATAAAATCTTAAAAAAAAGAAAAAAAAATAGTATGATGTCAGGCGCATGGGTGGCTCAGTCGGTTGAGCGGCTACCTTCGGCTGGGGTCACGATCCTGGAGTCCCGGGATCGGGTCCCGCATCAGGCTCCCTGCTCGGCGGGGAGTCTGCTTCTCCCTCTGACCCTCTCCGCTCTCATGCGCTCTCTCTCATTCTCTCTCTCAAATAAATAAATAAAATCTTAAAAAAAAGAGAAAAAATAGTATGATGTCGGGCGCCTGGGAGGCTCAGTCGGTTGAGCGGCTGCCTTCGGCTGGGGTCACAATCCTGGAGTCCCGGGATCGGGTCCCGCATCGGGCTCCCTGCTCGGCGGGGAGTCTGCTTCTCCCTCTGACCCTCCCCCCTCTCTCTCATGCTCTCTCTCTCAAATAAATAAATAAAATCTTTAAAAAAGAAAAGAAACCTTGACATCCGTTTCTCTCTAATCTACGGTCACCAGGCACTGTCCACGCACTGTCTTCACCTTCCCCGGGGCGCGGGCCGGGGATCAGCCGCACGCTGATCAGGACTTTGGAGCTGAACAGCTTCCAGGGTGCACCTGGGTCATTGCACGCACTTCATTTTTTGTTTAATTTCTTTCTCTTAATTCGCTTCCTGCTGCGGACTCAAGAAAGGAGTTGGTTTTGCGGCCGGAAGGTGGGGTACGTGGAAATTCACAGGGAGGCTCAAATCCACCGGAGCGAGTCCTCGAGCTCGAGGCCAAACGCAGCCGAGCGCGGGAGGGACAAGAAGGCCATTCAAGGGGGTCCCACCGCCGCGCCAGCCGGAGAGGCGATCGCCCGGCCAGCGCAGCCCGCGCGGCCAGCGGGCCAGGTCCGCACTCCCCGAACCCTTCGCAGCGCGACCCGAGTCGGTCCCCTTCGGCTTCCCAGGGCGCCCGGGATGTCACCGAGGAGAGCCTGCCGAGGAGTGTCACCGAGGAGAGCCTGCGGCCTCGGAAAGCCTCGCGCGCAGCTGCTCCTCCTCCCTTCAAGCCTCGGTCTGCGCGCAGCCCCCGTCACCGCCCAGACCCTGCGCTCGAGCCCCCCGGCCCCCCAACGTCCCTCTCGTCCCCAGCAGCCCTCTCGCAGCCCAGGTCACCCCTCCCCAGACCCCCGACTCCACCCGCAGCCCCGCGGGCCCCCGCGCCCGCCCGACCTCCGAGCCCTGACCCCGACCCGGCCTCCCCGTCACACCCACCTGCCCGGGACTTCGCCGTTGCTGCGCCTCCAGAACCGCTTCCGGGCCCCGTCGCCGGCCACGGCCCCTCCTCCTCCCTCAGGCCCGCGGCCGGACACCTCGAGCGCGGCCGGCCAGGCCCGGCGGCCTTTTCCTGCACCCCGAGCGGCCCCTCAGCGGCCCGCGGACGCCCGAGCCCAGCGCCCAGAGGCTCTTCCGCCTGCTCCCGGAAGTCCCGCCTCCACAAGCCCGGAAGTCCCGCCTCCGCCCAGGCGCGCCGGACGCAAGGCGCGGGCGTGACGGCATTCAAGGGCGACGCCGGGGAGGGGTGTGGTGGCTGCGGTGCGGGCGGCTGGCTGGGGCCCCCGTCCGGCTCTGTGCTCTGCCGCCGGGCGAGGCGGCGCGAGGGCCCGGGGCGCGCGCGGAGGCAGCGAGGGGCAGCGGGGTCGGCGGAGCGGGGGGGGGGGGGGGGCGGGGGGGGGGGCGCCTGGGGGTCGCGGAACCCGGCGCAGGAAGCCCCCGGCAGGGTTTTTAAAGAGTCGGCACGAAGCGGAGCGGAGGGAGAGTCCGTCTACACTGGTGGGGCGCCGGGCGGCTCCGTCGGCCCGCCGTCTGCCTTGGACTCGGGTCGTGACCCCAGGGCCCTGGGCTCGAGCCCCGTGTCGGGCCCCCCGCTCGGCGGGGAGACTCTGCTTCCCCCTCCGCCTGCCCCTTCCCGGCTGGTGCCCTCGCTCGCTCGAGAGCTCGCTCGAGTGAATGAAATCTTTAAAAAGAGCGAGTCTGCGTTGGTTACGTGGTAAAATGACAGTCGCTGAAGTTATGTTTCGGTGTTTTGGTGTTTGCTTCTTTTAACTCGACGTAGCCAACGAAGATGTGGGGTGACGTGCGTGACTGGCGCTGGATTTCTCGTGGTCGCGGACCCGGACCGAGAAGCCAGGTCCTGCCCTTTCCCGACTGCAGGACAGTCTAACTTCGGGAGTCCGCGGACGCACCTCCGCCAGTTCTCTCGTGAGACAAGAATTGGCCACGGAGCACAAAACCGGAACTTTTACAAGTCTGCTCCGCTGAGGGACGTCACTCTCGTGGCTAAGCGGGGGGTGGAACCCTCCGGGACAGTGTGGTCTCAGGACCCTCGGAGTCACAGAAAGACCGGGGGTGCCCGAGTGTGGCAGAGCTCCCAGGGATCGGAGCAGGGAAGCCGGCGGCAGAGGCGGAGCCCAGGCCGGGCTCTCAGCTCGGGGTGGCCATAAACCGGGATCCGCGGCCCAGTCGGGCCCCTACGCCTCCGGCAGGGACCCAACAAGCGGCAGATCCGGGGAGACTCACCTTCCTCCCCGGGGAGGAGCCGCGCAGGAGCGCACTGCAGGGATCTGCTGGGTTTGGAGACTCCACCCGGGGTCGGGTGCCAGAGAGAGAAACGCGCGGTCGCAGGCCCGGTGAGCACGGAGTGCGGCCGGAGACCGGGGAGACGGGAGTGACTGACGGCTTTTCTCTGGGGGCTCACTGAGGAGCAGGGCCCTGAGTCCTCGGCTCCTCCGGGGCAGAGATTGGGAGGCTGCCATTTTCACTCTCCGCCTCCAAAGCTGTACGGAAAGCTCGCAGGGAACAAAAGCCCCAGAGAGCAAACCCGAGCAGATGACTTAGCCGGGAGGGGGCAAGGGCGGGGCAATTCCGCCGCCGGCAGAGACATTTGGAAACCACGGCAACAGGCCCCTCCCCAGAAGATCAGCGAGAACAGCCAGCCAAGACCAAGTTTACCGATCAATGAGAACGGCAGAACTCCAGCGCTAGGGGACTACTGCACATAGAATCTATGGCTTTTTTACCATGATTCTTTAGTATTTTAATGTTAATTTTTTTAACTGTCTTTTTGTCTTATTATTTCTTTTTGAATTTTTCTTTTTCCCTTTTTCAACCAACATCTTATCAATCCCTTTTTAAAAAACAAAAAAAAAAATTATTTTTCATTTTTAGAGTCATATTCTATCCCTTCATAGTAGTTACCCATATTTTTGGCTTATATATATAAGTTGTTCTCTCTTTAAAATTTTGAGATAGTTTCTTCTAACAGATTAAAATATACCCTAAATCTCTAGTATATGGTGCTTTCTATTCCCTTGCCTGATCACATCCTCTCCCTTTTTTTTCTCTTTTTGTTTTTTCTTTTTTAAAATCCTCTTCTTTCTTTTTTCAAACAACTTCTTATCAATTCCTTTTATAACATTTTTTATAATTTCCATTTTTACAATCATATTCCATCCCTTCATCATATCAACCCTTATTTTTGTACATATATAAGTTTTTCTTTCTTTAAAATTTTGGGAGGCACTTTCTTCTAAAAGACCAAAATACACCCCAAATCTAGTGTGTGGCACTGATCTATATACCATATAGATCATATTTGATCATATTCTGATTTTCCTTTTGTTGTTGTTGTTTCGTTTTGTTTGTTTTTGTTTTTATCTTTATCTTTTTTTTTCTTTTTCTTTTTCTTTTTTCTCTCTTTCCCTTTCTTATCCCACTGCTTTAGGTCTTTTCTGATTTGTTTAGAGTATATTTTCTGGGGACGTGGTTATTCTGCTAGAATTTTGTTCTCTCATTAATCTATTCTCCTCTGCACAAAATGACAAGACGGAAAAAATCACCGCAACAAAAAGAACAAGAGGTAGTACCGACTGCCAGGGACCTACTCAATACGGACATTAGTACGATGTCAGATCTAGAGTTCAGAATCATCACTTTAAAGATACTAGCTGGGCTTGAAAAAAATATGGAAGTTATTAGAGAAACGCTTTCTGGAGAAGTAAAAGCTAAAATCCAACCAAGTAGAAATTAAAAAGGCTATTAATGAGGTGCAATCAAAAATGGGGGCGCTAACTGCTAGAATGAATGATGCAGAAGAGAGAATCAGTAATATAGAAGATGAAATGATGGAAAATAAAGAAGCTGAGAAAAAGAGAGATAAACAACTAGTGGATCACGAGGGCAGAATTCGAGAGATAAGTGATACCATAAGACGAAACAACATTAGAATAATTGGGATCCCAGAAGAAGAAGAAAGAGAGAGAGGGGCAGAAGGTATAATGGAGCAAATTATAGCAGAGAACTTCCCTAATTTGGGGAAAGAAACAGGCATGAAAATCCAGGAAGCACAGAGAACCCCTCTCAAAATCAATAAAAATAGGTCAACTCCCCGACATCTAATAGTAAAACTTACGAGTCTCATAGACAAAGAGAAAATCCTGAAAGCAGCTCGGGAGAAGAGATATGTAACCTACAATGGTAGAAACATTAGATTGGCAACAGACCTATCCACAGAGACCTGGCAGGCCAGAAAGGACTGGCAGGATATATTCAGAGCACTAAATGAGAAAAATAGGCAGCCAAGAATACTCTATCCAGCTAGGCTGTCATTGAAAATTGAAGGAGAGATAAAAAGCTTCCAGGACAAACAAAAACTAAAGGAATTTGCAAACACAAAACCAGCCCTACAGGAAATCTTGAAAGGGGTCCTCTAAGCAAAGAGAGACCCTAAAAGCAACATAGACCAGAAAGGAACACAGACAATATACGGTAACAGTCACCTTACAGGCAATACAATGGCACTAAATTCCTATCTTTCAATAGTTACCCTGAATGTAAATGGGCTCAATGCCCCAATCAAAGGACACAGGCTATCAGACTGGATTCAAAAACAAGACCCATCGATATGCTGTCTGCAAGAGACTCATTTTAGAACCAAAGACACCCCCAGATTGAAAGTGAGGGGATGGAAAACCATTTACCATGCTAATGGACACCAAAAGAAAGCTGGGGTGGCAAGCCTTATATCAGACAAATTAGATTTTAAATCAAAGACTGTAATAAGAGATGAGGAAGGACACTATATCATACTTAAAGGATCTATCCAACAAGAAGATCTAACAATTGTAAATATGTATGCCCCTAACATGGGAGCAGCCAATTACATAAGGCAATTAATAACAAAAGCAAAGAAACACATCGACAACAATACAATAATAGTGGGGGACTTTAACACCCCCCTCACTGAAATGGACAGATCGTGTAAGCAAAAGATCAACAAGGAAATAAAGACTTTAAATGACACACTGGACCAAATGGACTTCACAGACATATTCAGAACATTCCACCCCAAAGCAACGGAATACACATTCTTCTCTAGTGCCCATGGAACATTCTCCAGAATAGATCACATCCTAGGTCATAAATCAGGTCTCAACCGGTACCAAAAGATTGGGATCATTCCCTGCCTATTTTCAGACCACAATGCTTTGAAACTAGAACTCAATCACAAGAGGAAAGTTGGAAAGAACTCAAATACATGGAGGCTAAGGAGCATCCTACTGAAGAATGAATGGGTCAACCAGGAAATTAAAGAAGAATTAAAAAAATACATGGAAACCAATGAAAATGAAAACACAACTGTTCAAAATCTTTGGGATGCAGCAAAGGCAGTCCTAAGAGGAAAGTATATAGCAATACAAGCCTTTCTCAAGAAACAAGAAAGGTCTCAAGTACACAACCTAACCCTACACCTAAAGGAGCTGGAGAAAGAACAGCAAATAAAGCCTAAACCCAGCAGGAGAAGAGAAATCATAAAGATCAGAGCAGAAATCAATGAAATAGAAACCAAAAGAACAGTAGAACAGATCAACGAAACTAGGAGCTGGTTCTTTGAAAGAATTAACAAGATTGATAAACCCCTGGCCAGACTTATCAAAAAGAGAAGAGAAATGACCCAAATCAACAAAATCATGAATGAAAGAGGAGAGATCACAACCAACACCAAAGAAATACAAACAATTATAAGAACATATTATGAGCAACTCTATGGCAGCAAATTAGATAACCTGGAAGAGATGGATGCATTCCTAGAGATGTATCAACTACCAAAACTGAACCAGGATGAAATAGAAAACCTGAACAGAACTATAACCACTAAGGAAATTGAAGCAGTCATCAAAAATCTCCCAAAAAACAAAAGCCCAGGGCCAGATGGCTTCCCAGGGGAATTCTACCAAACATTTCAAGAAGAATTAATACCTATTCTTCTGAAACTATTCCAAAAAATAGAAACAGAAGGAAAACTTCCAAACTCATTTTATGAGGCCAGCATTACCTTGATCCCAAAACCAGACAAAGACCCCATCAAAAAGGAGAATTACAGACCAATATCCCTGATGAACATGGATGC